ACATACCTAATCTCAACCACAGCGGTGCGCCTGCGACACACCATATCTCAACTCCAGCGATGCTGCTGCGATATCGTACTCATTTTACACGCACGTGCTCACGAACGTACTCTGCTGTACACTCAGAATGTTGCCGAAGGGACCCTCGGTGATTGAGTTGACGGCCTATACTGTACGTAAGTCAAAAAAAGATTGGAATTCCTGATTGGTCGATGAAGTTGGGCCGTGGNATTGGTCGATGAAGTTGAGCCGTGCGGAGACAGCGTTGAGCTCGTGTGAGACAGCGCTGGCACGCTGCCGCTCGGCCTCGCGTAGAGGTCAGGGCGCGCGGGAAAATTCGGCACCGCGCAGGGCTGCGGACAGACGAAAAAGTCCGAGCGAAAAGCGTCCCTAAAGGCTCGAAGCCGTCGAAAAAGTGCTCTCGGCGCACGAGAGAGCAGCATTCAAATCACTTAGTTTTAGAGTCAAGATCTACGGAGATTTAGCTTAGCTAAAAATACTTACCGGAGATTTAGCTTAGCTAAAAATACTTACCTTATTTTTTTTCTCCCATTATTGGACTCTGTCGTCTGCCCCTCTGGCCCCTATCCTCCACTTCTACCAGCTAGACGATCCAACCGGGGTCACATTGGAGGGGGGGGCTGGACCCCCTCCTGCGTTTCCTGCCTGAGGTATTTTTATCGCGAGAAGGGTACACCAATCCCTTCCCTCGCGACTTACTACTAACAACGAGCTTTGCAGCGCGTCGCTTTCATCCTAGACCAGGTTGTATTTAAATGGTGAGAAAAAAACTCACTCTGCCGGGACTCGAATCCATGACCTGGCCCTTAGCAGGCTGCGAGGTTACCCGCTAGACCACCGGGGCGACCGAATGTCTATATATATGTACAAGTCTGTGTGTCGTATGGAGTATGTAGCCAAAACAGCTACAAAGAAGTAGGTTACCGGGATACAGACGATAGACCCCGGGTCAAAAAGGATGAGAGAACCAAATAAGTCAAAGAAAGACAAAGAAAGAAAGACACGGGAAACCAATAAAAAGGAAGATAGACCGGTCCCCCCCAACGCTCCATCCAGTCCACCGGAACATCGAAATAGGCAACTGCAACCGCGACACCGAATAGATGAATGACTTGCCGACAACGACAGCATCAGTTCGGAGGTGTCTCCCCTGTGGGTAACGAAAACACGCTCGACAAAGAAGACAGTTCGCGGTGGCCATCTTGTGTGTCTTCTTCGAAAAAAATAATGTAATAGTTGTAGAACCGAAGAGCTTGCTCACGCCCGACATGATCAGCACCAACATTACACACGCACACACCCAGCGCAGGCAAGCGAAGTCGGTCAGAGGCCAACCCAGGAACGACCATGATGCTATG